AAAAAAAAAAAAATACTTGGTGACCAAGAGAATCCTATATGGAAAGAGATTTTTCTATATCCACTTTCTTAAATAACCAGTATCTTGAGTCCTTGCATATATACGCTTCTATTCTCAAAGGATTCTTTCCCGTATACGACTCTCAGGTTTCGAGCTAACGCTACTGGTAGGTGAGCTGAGATGTTCTGGCCAGTTTTAGACCCCGTTAGACGTTCGACCAACACCTAGCACCTAGACCGTTGGCCTAGGTGAAGCTTAAACGACGCCTAGGTGGGACCTACAAATCAAGATTAAATAATTTAATTTTGTATTTATTTTACTACCAACAAAATAAAAATATTTCAAACCTATAATAAATCAACATATTTAAATCCAAAATAATAAATATTGGTAAATTATAATGAAAACTCGATAGCGAAATAATGTAATTAGTATTTAAATTTTTTTTTAAAAAAAATAGAAAATTTTCGACCGAGCCCATGTAGGCCTGCCTATGAATCGCTGAGCCGCCTGGTCAATTTAGGCAAATCTGAGGCGGTCGGCCTAGCCCCTAGACCGATTTTTAGTACAGTGGTTCTGGATATATATCAATTTGTGTATAAAGTATAAACCATTTCTTCGTTTATGCTTCTCTATACTAGTACAGAGCCCGTGCGATGCACGAGGTGCATAATTTTAAGGTTATTTATCCAGCCTTATAATTATACAAATGAATAAAAAAATATACGGGATATATATAGTACATGACATGTGCGAGACACGGGATATATTTATTTGGGGAATATTATATTGTAAGATGCAATATTCAATAAAAGTTTTATAATATGCAGGGAAATTATACAATAAAATAGTATTCGACAAATAAACAATCATATATTATTAAAGACCTCATTGTACATAGATATTAAATAATTTATTAGTAAAATAGTGTATAAATTGATTACAATAACAAAACAACATGCTCACGGAATTAGTAAAAATACTCCATGATTTAATGGGATTAAACATTTAAATTAATTAATTTAAATAATTAAAAATTAGATAATCAAAAGCATTTTAACATTATTTTGACTTTAATACATCACATAATGGGTATACTTTGAATATATTAATATGTAATGAACTTTAAACAACATAGTTTTTAAAAAAAAATTGTTTTAGGGAACTTTAAACAACATATTTACGTCACTCATAAAACAAATTATATTTCAACAACATAGTTATAGCATTATTTAAGGATCTTGAAATAGCATTGTTAAATATTTACGTCCACCCATAAAATTTTTGTAAGTCGAAGGTAATTAATCTCGT